AATAATAACTTAATTTTTAAAAAAAACAGGGGACCAGCAGTTCTTAACTGAAGGGCCTGGATTCCAGCCTCCCTCTATCTTTATTGAAAATTATCAGGAAGTAAATCACAAAGAGAATTCAATGCACAGGAAGCCAAGCTCTTTCTGTTGAAAACCTTCCCCTTGGCTTAGGAGAGAGGGATCAGCAAATACTATGCAAGAATCCAGTAAATCCTTAAGGATTGCCTTGGTGCTTCATGGTGAACTCCAGCTTGAACCTTGCCTCCCCCACATCCTGAATTAGCATTCGGTTTATTACAAATATTTAGTATTGGCTTCTCATATTTCTCACAGCATTGCTCTGTCCCTTGGTGATCCTCATGTGGCATCTGTCTTTGCCAGTTTGCACTTGCTTGTCTCTGTCTTGCTCTTTTTCTCCCTCAGAGGAGATTAGATTTAAGATACACCCCACATTTATATCACCTCACAAAAAGAAAGCCCTATTCCGAAACAGAATTGCATCACCAGGTTTAGGGGGTGAGACTTCTATACAGTTTCATCTATAATATTGGGTTCGACTCTAGGCTGGAAACTGAGAGGGTTTCTACTTCAGTGATCTTCTCCTTCAGAACCGAAGCTGAGGTAGCACCATCCACCTGAGAGACCCCCAAGACAAGTAACAGGGACAAAGGAAGAAAAGAAGAAGAAATGCAGGGTCTCCAAAGATTTCTACGCAAAACCAGTGGCCTGTTGTTTTTATGCACAGCCCATTGCGTAACACAAATCTTATAGTCAAATCTTAAACCAATATGACAAAAAACTCTACTTATATTGAAACATGACAATGCAAAACAGGGAACAAAACTTTTTTAATAAAAAAAGGCTCACTTACCATACCTTGAAAACCCAGTTTGCATCTTTTGCAGCTAGTTTAGAGACAGGAATAAATGGAAAGATGTAGCCATGAATGAACTATCATTTTTCTGTGGTCTCCTGTTGTCACATATAAACAGCTGTCTCTTTTCTGTTTGCACTCCTAGGTGTTTGCATCATGTTTGGAAAGAAAAAGAAAAAGATTGAAATATCTGGCCCATCCAACTTTGAACACAGGGTTCATACTGGGTTTGATCCTCAAGAGCAGAAATTCACCGGCCTCCCCCAGCAGTGGCACAGCCTGTTAGCAGACACGGCCAACAGGCCAAAGCCCATGGTAGACCCGTCCTGCATCACGCCTATCCAGCTGGCTCCCATGAAGGTATGGTGAGGATTGGTCTGTAAGTTCACTTAAGAAGCATGTTCTTATTTGATAAAGTGCACAAGCTTCCTGGGCAAGCAGTACTATTGTCACACTGGGTATTTACTTTTAAATCCAAGATTATGCACCATCCTATTTCAGTGTCTGTAATGGTTGCCCCGTATTGTAAAATGTAGCACATGAAAAAGAGCTTCAGCTCTCAGATCAGACTTTTTTTTTAAATTACATTCATAAAATGCCATCACAAGACAGGAAAGCTTATTTCTACTTTGAGTGGCTTTTGTTTTTCTTTACATTGAAGAATATTCCACATTTTCTCTTGCTAATGTATTGGCAGAAACTTCTAATTAAGAATCATGTTAGATAACCTTTGGTTGTTGTGTATTCTTCCTTAGAAAACACAAACTGTGCTTGTATACTAAACTTTCAACTGCAAGATTTATACACACACATATACACACAAATACATACATATACACACAACAACAGCAGCATAAAGAGAGCTCAGCTGGCCTAGTGGACAGAAAGTGATGCTACCAAGCCAAAGGTGGGTGACTTTAATCTGCTGCCCTCAGACCTGGTTTTAATTGTTTTTGGTCAAACATTCTTCTAAGTGGTATAGTACTGGTCTGTCCATTTGCTGTACAGAGGTAACTCGTGGTTGCTGTGGTGCTGAACACTCTAACACTGATATGTCAAAAGTGATAATGGTTATCTATGGTGGACAGAGTTTGGTGGAGCTCCCCTATTAAAACAAGCTTGAAAGCAGGAGTGGCATCCCTTCCAAAATAGCTTGCCTCCAGAAACCCTATGAACTTGGAGTAACGATGAAAGTTATACAAGTGTTCAGGTCTTTCGTTCATAGGGTTTCTATGAGTCACCTGCGACTCAACAACACTTAACAACATATATACACATGCACACGCACATGTTGTTGTTGTTGTTGTTATGTGCTGTAGTGTCGCTTGTGACTCATAGAGACTCTATGAACAATAACTCTGAAACCTGCTCTTTCCTGTGCCAGTCTGACTGTCTCTGACATGTTTAGTATATGACTCTCCTCACCCTAGTCACTGAATCAATCCATCTCATTGAGGGTCTTCCTTTCTTGCACTGTCCCTCCACTTTTCAAGCATGGTGCCCCTCTTCAGAGATTGGTCCCTCCTTGCAACATGCCCAAAGTATGTCAGAGGAAGACTCAGAATCCTTGCCTCCAAGGATCAGCCTGGTTTCACCCTTCCCAGGATGAATCTGTTTGTTCTCCTAGCAGTCCATGGTATATACAACACTCTTCTCCAGCACCACAGCTCAAAGGCATCAATTCTCTTTCTGTCATCCCTTGTCTTTATCCAGATTTTTTACACGTAGGAAGTAATTGTGAAGACTATGGCCTGGATCCTGTGCACCTTAATCTCAAAAAAACCTCCAGAAATACTATGAACTTAGAGTAATAATGGTAGTTATACAATAGGGTTCAGGTCTTTTATTCATATGGTCGCTATGAGTCGTGTAGGACTCTACAGCACTTAACAACAGCAACAAGAATAACATGAATCTATCTATTTTTTTCTATATGTCATCTTTATCCAACAATAGAGGAATTTCAAATAAAAGTAGATTATTTGAGGCTTGTAATAGCTTATAATTTAACTTAAACAGGTGACTAGTGGCTTTTTTGTAAGGAATGTCCACAAAAATAGTTTCATTGAAGCTGAGAGCAGATGTACTATATTTCAGGTATACTAAACTACCTAAAATCCAGCCATTGCTGTTTTCTTCCTTACCTCTGGATAAGAATTCTACAAAACATAATCAAATTGTTCAACAACTACTCACTGTTGTTAAACCATAGTTGAAGTTTATTATCATGTTTAGACCATTTCAAGGTTTCATGATCCCAACAAATCATTACATTCAGATTGTTCTCTTGTTCTTCATATTAGTAGACATTGAGCTATATGAATACTGTACTTAGGGTTAAAATTAATATAGGAGCTCTGGTGGCCATGTGACAAGAAGGTGCACTGCAATTCCGAAAGCAGGCAGTTCTAGACCACGAGCTGCTCCACAGGTTGGCATTCTCCTCCGAAGCAATTAACAGCCTCTGAAAAATTGCCACAGTGTCAGCTATGGTACATAACAACAACAAATGGTATTAAATGGTATGAAGAACATGAGGAAATAAATTTTTTAAAGGTTCGAACAAAGGATAATAGCTGATAAATTATAGAGACTACAACAACAGCAACAACTCCTGTTTCCAGGAGTGATCGGTACTTAGAGGAGGACATCAAGCTTGGAAGGGTGGAGGGACAGTGGAGGAGAGGAAGACCGTGGAGAGATGGATTGATACAATAAACTGGAGCAATGGGGGTAGGTGTGTTGGAGTCAGTAAGACTTGCTCAGGACAGAGTAAGCTTTAGAGATGTGGTACATAGGGTCTCTGTGCATTACAGGTGACTTGATGGTACATAACAACTATTAAAATGTCACCTGATCTGACTAAATTAATATTTTTATTCCATTACTCATGAATAATATTATTCATTTTTGTCTGGTATTTAATGTGCAGATTTGTACCTTCTAACATAAGAAATCCTCACCCTTTTAAAAGGTATTGATTGATGTTTAATAGAAATTAACCAATTAACCAACTTCATTGGTAAATATTGGACATTACCCTACAGTTGAATATACCTTTCTTCCAGAGAATCAAAGGCTAATACATCACTGATGACTAAATAATAGGGTGGCTTATATATAAAAGGGAGCTCTGATGGCTTAATGGTAAGGAGTTATTCTGCCAACCCAGTGAAATTCAGTTCAAATCCACCAGCTGCTTTGTAGGAGAATGATGGGCAGTCTCCTCCTATGCGATTAAGATTAACTGTTTCTGAAAGCCTGCTGTAGAATCAACTATGGGTTGGTTACAGTTTTACAGTACACAGCAACATAAATAAAAAGAATTAAAAAAAATACATATTTTTTAGATTTAGTTTTTCTTTTATCCTGCATATTTGCTGAAACCTAAAAAATAGAATAGGCAATGTCCCCAGAAAAGTCTTCTTCTATTGGTAATCAAGAAAAATGAAAAATTCCCAAGTGAAAGGGGTTTATTTTCTCAGGCTTGAGTTCAGTTATCACTAGCTGAGGAATGTCCCATAAAGAGCAGTCTCACTATATTTTCCTAGCTAATAGCTCAAGATGTGTGCTGTTTTGTTAAATAAAGTGTTTGTTATTGGTTGCAGGCAGTCTAATTTATTTTACTATCATTTTTACTTGTCCAGATCCTTGCAGATCCTGGACAATATGTGAAGAAAACTGTTCTCATACTCAAACAATCTACCGTGCTGGGTGGATTTGGGTGGATTTGGGACATAGGAAAGGACCTCTAGTTCACTTCTTCCATCTCCCAAATAGTCTGGCTCATTATCCTTTTTGTAGAATTTGTCAGCTCTACTGAAGGGCTAACGCCCAGCTTCTGCAGTCCTGAGTCCCATGATTCTCCTTAGTTGCTTCAAGATCTTCTAATTTTTTCTATCAGTTAGATGAGTAGCCAGTTTCCATGAAATGAAATGTTTCTTACAGACACATGTTAACCTGACCATGAATTAAAAATATGTTTGAAGTATAAAACTAGCCCTTGTTGTTTGGTGCCTTCAAGTCAGTTCTAATTCTTAGTCATCCTCTCTTAACAAAAAAAAACATTAAAAAAACCCAACACCAAAAATACCACCAGATCCTGTGCCATCCTCACTGTCTACTGTCCTTAAACTCACTTTTGCAGCCACTACCTGTGTCCATGTCACTTAATGTCTCTGTTTTACTGACTATCACTGTACCAAGAACGATGTCTTTCTCCAGGCACTAATCCCTCCTGATAACATGTTTAATATGTAAGACACACTTGCCATCTTTACTTCTCAGGAACGCTCTGGCTGCATTTGTTCTAAGACGAGTTTCTTCGTTCTTTTTGGCAGAATAGTCAATATTCTTTGTCAACTCAAAAACCCATCTATAACTGCTTTTGTCTTGCTTGTTCATTGTCCAACTTTTACATGAATATGACCCAATTTGATTCAGACCTAATCTTAGACCTTTGTTCTTGAGAACGTTAAAGTTCTTTAAGAACTTTAAGAGAACTTTGTACCAAGAGTCAGGGCACTAGAGGAGAAGCCTAAGCTGCACTGAAGGCATTGAGGAAAAGCAAAGTCCCAGGAATTGATCAAGTGCCAATGAAGGTGTTTCAGCAAATAGACGCAGCACTACACAAGAAATTCAGAAAATAGCTGTCAACCAACCAGAGGAGATCCAAAGATGTGCCTAATCGAAGGAAAGGTAATCTAGCAGAATGCAGAAATTATCAAACAATATCATTAGCATTATCCAAATAAAATCTTAATTGATGATGATTAAAAACTAGTTGGAATAATACATTGACAAAGGTGCTACCAAATGCAGTCTGGATTCAGAAGAAGATACGGTGTGAAAGATATCATTGCTGGTATCTGATGGATCTTGGCTGAAGGCAGAGATTACCGGAGAGATGTTTACATGTGTTTTATTGACTATGCAAAAGCATTCAACTGTGTGGATCATAAATTATGGATAATTCTGCATAGAATAGAAATGTCACAACACTTAGTTTTGCTCATATTAAACCTATACAAAAACAAAGGAGATACTGTAAGTCTCCTTTAGTGAAAATAATGAAAGCTATGTGTCTGGGTTGTACCTGTTCACCATATTTATTCAGTGTGTATGATGACATTAATCCAAGAAGCTGGAAGAAATAAAGAATAATGGGATGTCATCAGGACTGGCTGTTGTTGTTAGGTGCTAGTGAGTCCAAAATGACTCATAGCAACCCTATTAACAACAGACTGGAAACCTGTCCTATACTGTACCATCCTCATCATCCCTACCACACCGGAGCCCATTTCTGCAGTGACTGTGTCTGTCTATCTCATTATGATCTTCCTGTCTTTTTCTGACCTTCC